AAAATAATGTAAGTTGACAGCCTCGCACGCCAATATCCTCAAACTTTTGGAGCAACAGTGGAATTGAAACGGTGTCAAAAGCTTTCTCTAGATCGAGAAAGTTGGCTAAACTCTTTCTACCCCTATCTAAGTTTTGCGTAATATACTTGGTAACCGAAAGTAAAGCATCTGATGTTGATTTTTTTGCACGAAAACCGAACTGGACATTTGATAATAAATTCTTTTGCTCAAGGTAGTTCACTAGTCTACAGTTTATGATTTATTCAAAAACCTTAGAGATTGACGACAGTATTGATATAGGACGATAATTATTAGGTAGACTTTGATCGCCATTTTTGTAAATTGGATGAACGCAAGCTTTTTTCAGCACCCTTGGAAAAACATCTGCCGTCAAACGCAAGTTGATAATAAATGTCAGAGGAGGCACTAGGATGTCTTTGTACTTTTTCAGAAGACCAGTGGAGATACCATCCCATCCAACAGCTTTATCTGATTTTAAAGCAATGATAATCCGTTCAACTTCTTCTTCGTCTGTATTTAAAAGAACGAAAGAGTTTTCTATTAAATTAGGACTTGAAACCGCAGAAGTAGCATTGGGTTGAGATAGCTGTCGTTTGGTCAAATATTTCAGCAAGGATTTTGCCAGCATTGATAAAGAAGGAGTTAACTCTATCGGCAGATTCACATGGGAATGGACACAATTGTAATAATTCGTGGTCTGGTGTTGTTCTAGGGCTAGTATTGGTAACTTGGTTTATTGTCTCCCAAATACGTTTTGAGTCTTTTCCAGCCTCAGCAAATTTATTTCTTTCATTTTCTGTAGTGCTTATATGTTACTTTGAGAACCACGTTATCGAGTGATTTATTAAACTTTTTGTGTAAGTTGTCCCTATTTCTGAGACACTTTAGGAGTCCTGGAGTCATCCACGGCTTAAGAATTCTGCGCCTGTGGGATGGGATATAAGTTATAGTCGCGTAGGTGATGGAGTTACGTATAGCATTTATAAAATATTCTATCGCAGAATCGGGGTCATCTAAATTTAACAAGCTCTCAAAATCTACACTTAAGAGACTTTGACTCAACTTTTCTTCGTTTATCTTGTGAGCACTCTTAGGTGGAATGTACTGTACTTTCTTTGAAATAGAGAGTATCACCGCAAAGTGATCAGTCACAGTGGCTTCAACAACAATAGTAAAAGCTGGGTAAGTGGTTTTGAGCAGAACATGATCAAGACACGTACGATTGTGCGTAGGTATTAAGTGGGAGGGAAGAAGACCGTGTTCAGCAGTCAAATTTAGATATGCAGGAGAGTTAACATCATTATTAGTGGGAGATATATCTATGTTAATATCTCCTACCAAAATTACGTTTCGAAATGAGCTTAGACTACTAAGTAAAATATCCAACGATTGAAAAAATGAGTCAGTTTGTTTACGCAAGGCATCAGGACGATAAATTGCTAATACGGCGGTATCTCTAACTATTTTAATTAAGAGAGAGCTTGAATCTAAGAGCTTCGGTTCCTCCACCGAAATCCTCTCTATGTTATTTTTTGTAAAAATTATCACACCATCATTTTGGTTATATGGATTCGTAGGTGCCACATACTTATATCCCTGCAAAGAAGGAACACAATAATTGTACCGTAACCAACATTCGGTAAGGACTATTATGTCAAACTCGCTATTAATTCTTGTCAGTAACAATAGGAAACCATCAATGTTAGCATTTACACTACGAATATTTTGGCAAATTAATTTAAGTGACTTAGAGCTGAACTTTGCTAGTAATCGCATACAATTTTCTGGTGAGCTTAAGACAGCCTCAGAAGGAGAAATTCTGTCCAATGCATAACTAATATCAGATTGAGAATTGAATTTCAGTATATAAAAAACTGGTGTTCAAATAACTAACATATAACAAAATAATAATATATAATTTACACACACACACACATATATATATATATATATATATATATATATATATATATATATATATATATATATATATATATGCTGAATAGCTTCTAAAAAGCAAATTATCAAGCAACAATATTCCGATAAGAAAATGCTTAGTTGAATCTTAAAGAAATATCGAATTAATGATATGAAGGTCTTGGGTTCGACTCCCAGGCCGGAATAGTTTATCGTTTTCTTAGTAATATCTCTTAATAAATTCATATAGGGAATTTTAAAATATAAATTATGTTACCGGGTTTGTTCCCCGGTCGAGATGATCGCTATGCATAAGTAGAATTAATGGAAATTAATTGCATTAGTATTGTCTTATGTGAGTTTGATATGTTTTGTGTGAAAACAAATGCCTATTTTCTATGATTGATTTATGAAAACATTCACTCATATTGTTTGATAAGAAACATGATAATTGATAAGAATCTGATTAGAGGTAGTTTTCGGCGTTTGAGAATTGAGTAGAATCATTTATTCACCTAGTTGATATTAGTGTATACTAAACTTTCCATTTTTACTGATAGTCGATAGCCGTGTAAAGGTTAGTTGTTCAAATAGTGTGAGTTCATAGACGCACGCTTGCCACGTACTTAGGCGGCCAAATATGTAGAAATTTAAATATTTGCAAATTTCAGCAATTTATGTAAAATGACTTGTAAAACATTTCAGAGTGATTGTACGTGTAAAAGAGGTGAATTCTGTGTTATTTTATGTGAAAATTCCTGTGAATAAGTGAAATAATGATAGTTTTGTATAAGAAATTTAAATGTTTTTTAATAGTGAAATGTATAGAGAAAATGTAAATTAAACTATTGTATTAGTTAAGGTATGTATAATTTCGAGTGGAAAACATTGTTTTAACTTTCTATGTTAAATATTTAAGAAATTCCAACTTTGAACATGTGAGTAAAATAAGCATATTTTGTTAAATAAATAATGGATTTTTTTGTGATATGAAAATGTAATGTATATCGTAGTATAGATATTTCTTTGTGCTATCTTTATAAGTAAATTGTATAAATGTATGTCTTATACAAATAAAGTTATTGAGCAAACCGTGAGAGAGTGATAGTACAAATTGATGTAATTGAGTTGCGCAAGCGCACAAATGGCTCGGCTCACTTTCGCGTTTAGCTTCGAGGTAGTTCAGTAAATTGATTTTTCTTGCAAATCGTTCGGGAAAAGTGCAAGACCAGCAGTCAATAAGAAGAAGAAAGAAAAAGTATAGGGAAGTGATAGGGAAAAGTAATTACTCTCTCACGGAACGGTTTAAAGATAATTGCTGTTTTATTCCCAAGGAATTCTCCCCTTAAAGTGATCCATTCCATATCGAAGAATTAAGGCGTTGGGACCAGGACGACTTCGGAAGACCCGTAATCCCCGCCTGAACCTTTTTTCTGAAAAGGAAGAGGTTATCGCCCTTGTGTGTTACTCCGATGCGGAGATCACATACGTTGTTCCCGAACCCTACGTAGGCGTTATAGGAGGCCGGATCGAGAGAAGCCTCGATTCCCCCCTTCTATTTCTTAGTTAACGTTTGTCTGGTTCCTTTTCAATATACATTTTTTTATATATATATATACGCATATACATACATACATATATACACACACATACATACATATACATACATACATACATGTTTGACACGAAAAATCGGGAGATTCATGGTATTTCTATTTTTGCAGAGACATAATAATATTACATGTATAAAAATGATGTGCCATTGCTGAAAGCACAACTGAGAGCTCACTGTAGATGATTTACGCATAAAGCAAGAAAAATCGTTAAAAATGTAATGCAGCATTTCAGATGAAAGCAATTTGTTATTTATATTGAAGGAGTTGTTTCCTTTGCAGTGTTAAAATATAAGGGGAGTCAAAATTGACTTGGATCAGTAGTAAACAAATTAATAATACTATGCTATTCCTAGACAAGTTAATACTTGGACACAAATTATAACCCATATAAATATGGTTTTTATTGTTCTCCAGAACCGTAATTATGACAGACGCTAGTTGTTGAGTAAATGTACTTTTTATTTTTAAAAACATGTAAAAATTGGTTAAAGAAACTTGGCCATGTAGATGTTGAATTTTAATACTGTGCGCGTTATTTTTAACATGAGTATATTGTTTAAATATGATATGAGAGTGGAGTGATGTAAGTAGTTTTGGTGTTGTGTTGTGGTATCGACGTACAAAAGCAAAAAAAGTTAAAAATCTATTAACTAAATGACAAAAATTTTACAAATTGCAACGTATGTTTACAGACAAAAACAGAGGCAGGCATATAATATCATAATAAATTGAAATAGTAACAAATAAAAGCAGTCAAATGATCGGTATTTTGCTAATATCTTCTTGGGATTTTATTAGTATAGGCTTATCTCTATCTGTTTTTTTAGGAATATTCTACCAGCAGATGTTCAGATGCGGGAAATAGAGTAAATGGGGCCCTACACTATATTGTGAAGAGTCAAAATGTGTCGAAAAAGGCACGCATGGCAATTCACAATGCTGTGTTGGTCCCTACTTTAACGTATGGTAGTGAAAGTTGGGTGTGACAGAAGAAGCACGAGAGTAGAATGAACGCAGTAGAAATGCGGTCGTTAAGGAGTATGTTAGGGCTGAATCTGAATGACAGGGTAAGAAATTGTGTAATAAGAGAAGAGTGTGGTTTGCAAGATGATGTTGTGACCAGGATTAAGAAAGGAATGCTTCGGTGGTTTGGTCATGTGGAAAGAATGGATGAGGAAAGACTGACAAAGAAAATGTATGTTGCAGAAGTGAATGGCAGAGTCGGAAAGGGACGTCATAGGCAAAAATTTATCGACCAAATTGGCGATTTATTAAAAACGGGCCAAATTAGGAGTACCCTTAACCGACGAGCATGTATGCGTAGGTGTATGGATGTGAAGGAGGCGAGAGAGGTGTGTCAGGATCGTGCCAAATGGAAGTCTGTAGTCTCTGCCTACCCGTCTGGGTAACAGGCGTGAGTGTTTATGTTATGTATGTATGTTTATGTTATGTCCAGCAGTATGCATAATTATTTGCCTTTAGGAAGTTTCTGGCTACTGAAAACAATCGCCTTGTTTTCTGGGGAAGATTTTCAGAGATGAAAATAGGAGTAGGAGGGCCCGCAATGGCTGCGTCGGTCGAAGTCAATTTTTTGTTCTTATTTCTCCTATTGTATTCCTTTAAATTAGCGATAAATCTTTGCTTGGTAATGTTACTGGTGAACTCGGCTACTATGATTTTATTACCGTCGTTTTTTTGATTTATTCGAAAAATATCTCTGACATCTGAATGCTGTAAGGTCGATCCAAGCACTTCACCTGTCTTTACCAAAATATTTAGTAGGTCTTCTTTACTTTCGCGGTCCTTTTTAGGTACATTACGCAATTCTATGCGAGAAGAATGTGAAGATCTTTCAAGCCCTTCAATTTTTTCTTCCAACATCTCTATACGCTTACGATATGCTTTATTTTCATCTTGTAAACTTTGTGTACTCGACAATAAAGTGTCATATTTTTCAGACATAAACGTAATAGATTCCCTGATATCATCATTTTGTTGTTTAATATTACCGACATAATCTAAGATTTTTGATAATTTAGAGTCCTGTTCACTCTTGAGAGACATAAACATGTCAGTAAACTTATCCAGGATGGCGGAGAATTCATCGGACAAGTTATTAGAAAATTTTCTCTTTCGAACCGCTGTGTTGATGTAAGCTTCACATTCAGTTGATTTTAAATTTGGTTCCGAGTCACAGTGCTGTAATGAAGGACTACGTGACGTCGACGGATTTATCGGCGGCGACTGTTTGAGTGGCATGGCAACTGTAAGCGTGCAAGTACCAGGGAAGTATAAGTCTCGCCGCAGTGAGCAGCTAGTAAGCACAAAAGATGACTAAGCCGACTGGCACTAGGAGCGCTGCACAATTAACACGTACCTCCTACAAGCGTAGAGGATTGGTTGATCTTCGTGACGCCTCTGGGGGCGGGCAGCAGGACAAAGATAGCGGCGTGATGCAGCGTATGAGTCAGTACGGCAATCTACCGGCGCCAGGTCTCAAACTCTTCTTAGTTATGCACTCTTATTTTTTAACTCAATTTTCGTAATAGAAACTTTAATTTAAATATTTATAAAAAAAGGGATTTAGTGTAACACGTCTGAACTACTCAGCGGTCCGGGTGGAAGGGAATTTCCTGATTCTATCAATTATCTTAAACAAAGGACTAATCCTTCTGTACTATTTATGACTAATCTTCCTAAATTTCGTGTTAAACCAAGTCGTCCATTTTTGACAAGCGGAGTTGTGGAAATTGGTCGGACCTTTTACAATGAAAATGTACCCTGGTAGAAGTAAAAAAACCTGTAAAGTTTATGTATGCTTATTTGCGTGCACCGTCACAAAAGCCATTCATCTAGAATTGGTAACTGATGTCACTTCAGCTGCGTTCGTAGCTGCTTTCCGACATTTCACTGCTCGCTGTGGTCACTGCAAGGAAATTTGCAGTGATTATGGTACAAATTTTGTGGGCGCAGCCCGTGAACTAGATCTTGCCTTTAGAGATGCAAAATCTGTTTCTGAAATTGCTGAAGTACTGGCTAATGACCAAACTCACTGGAATTTTATACCCCCTAGTGCGCCTCACTTCGGTGGACTTTGGGAATCTGGAGTGAAGAGCGTTAAAGGACACTTGAACAACCTTACTAACCTACGAAGAGTTATCTACTCTTTTCAATCAAGTCGGAGATTGTGTTAACTCTCATCCACTTACCATAGTAAGTTGATGAACCTCCCTTAAAAAGTGCCCAGGCGGGCACTTTCTGGTTGGGGAATCATTAATTGGTGTACCAGAACCACCTTTAATTGATGTTAAAGTCAGCCCTTTACATCGCTGGCATATTATTTAATGTATGGTGCAGTGTTGGTGTGGTGTGGTGTTGGTGCAGTGGCAAAATGAATATCTGACAACGTTGCAACATCGTTATAAATGGAATAAGAGTCAGCCAGAACTTGCTATAGGTACTGTCGTGTTGGTAATATATGATAGACTTCCTCCTGGAAAGTGGCTTTTGGGGCGAATCACTCGGAATCACCCAGGTGCAGATGGCGTCACAAGAGTTGTGTCTTTACAATACATTGATAATATTTTTAAGAGGCCTATCGCAAAATTGTGCCCTCTGCCCCCTGAATGATTCCAACTAGTTAAAAGAATTTGGATTTTTTATTCTTTTGTTTTTGTTTTATGTTCACTTTTAAAGGACTGTAATCGTCCTTGGGCGGCGGAATCTTTAGCTAACAAACTTTCCTAGAAAATTTAATTCTTCCTGTTCTCCCTAGATATCACTAACGCCTAATTAATCGCGGTATCATTTGAATTTTTCACTATGATGTGTAGTTAAACAATATTGGCCTCCTTGAGTTTTCTATAATACAGTGTAGTGATGTGTGAGTAAAACATAGTGATAAAGTGTGAGTGTTTCATTAACCATAATGTTTAATCCTTTTTCATTTTTGTTTTTCGAATTTGAGATATACAATACACATTTTAGACTTAACACTTTAATAGCATTTACTTATTTATTAACTCTATATTTCATTCCCTATTACAAAAAATACAAAAGGTAGACATAATTCAATTAGGCATTTGTATATTTCATTTAATCCAATAACTCTTTATCTAATATATTTTTAAAAATTAATACAAAAAACAGGCTTGTTTGCGTTTAACGGATAATTCAGTGTGCATTTTCCGTCCGTATGATTTACTCAAAACTTAACACAATGGAACTTAATAAACAACTTGATTACATCCAACATTAACATAGAACCAAAAATTAATTTACTTTACGATGTTTCCTCTTGAAATAATTTATTTGTTGATAATTTTTGGATAATTAAAGACTCAAAAACTTTGTTAACAAAGAACTTAAAGAAGTAACCATATGTTAAATTTCTCATAATTGAGGTGTCTAGGTTTTCCACCAATTTTTCAGTGTTAAAAGAGGCTATTTTTTCCTATTTTTTGATATGAAAGTCCTCAAGACGTGCAAAAACATGCACAAACGTCAACACTTTATGCGTACCGCAATATTTTGGCAAGCGTACTTATATCCTTAACGTTATATTATACTGTACACGGAGAGCATTTTATGTCTTCTAGCTTAAAACTGTACCATAGAGTTTTAGATCGCACATGTTAATGGCCTGGCGTAGTACTCTTTGAACAGCCCATTACCCGTTGCAGCCTATTAAAGTCCACTGCTGTACAAAGACCTTTCACATACATTGGTTTCTAGGGGTGATATTTGCCATAGTTGCAAGGCTTGGCAAGCGGCTTGGCAACCGCAGTTTATACATTTTAGTCGTTATTAGGAAGACGCTGTTGTCGATCTCCTGATTTGTTTCCCTCTGTCGCCTCTTACGACACCCACGGGATGATATGGGGTAGTGGATATGCTTACACCACCACTACTATCAATATCAGCATATCTTGTATTATGTTGATAAATTAAAAAAAAAAACTGACCACCAAAAATTATTAATAAATTAAGCAACTGGTCGTTAGCATAATAGTTTACATATGTATTTCACAGTTGGGGGTTTAACCTCTGTCACATAAAAAACATTTATTTTTTATTTTTTTCCGTATTTATTTGTTATTCATAGTTCTCGCCTGAGGTATGAAATATAGCTCCTCGTCTAGAAGTATTTCCAATTTGTGATGATTTATTGATGAGATGATTTTATAAACAATAAATCAATATCTTCATTTCTTTACTACAATAAAAGATAACGTAAAATGTAGTACCAGATACCTAGAATAAATTATTTTGCGTTCATTAAAAACTAGTTACACTTGAAAAATTGTTAAGTGATGGCTATTTAATTGTTTAACAAAATCCCAAATGAAATATGGAAACTAGATTATAACCAATTTAGACGTATATTTTTATTCAAGTGGCTTTTGGAAATACAATATTATTCAGTAAATGAACTGCTGAAAATAAAAGAACGTTTCTATTGGCTGTTTATCGCTGTTTCATATTTGATCATATTTTAAAGGGTTAATATCTAAATAATTATGAACTGATGCATGTTTATTTTACTTAAATATTGAAATTTCTAATCATACCTTTTCACATACTACATTTGTTGTTATATAGTATATATGTGTTTATTATTTTATACGAACATCTTTGTACAAAATTTGTTATGAATAAACTCCACTGGGTAGTTAACAATTTATTATTAATATTTTTATTATAACCAAATATAATCTATGTCTACAAATTAATATCTGTAAATCTGATCTGACTGAAAGAATTGATTATATTATGAAATATTTTCTAACATACGGGACAAACTCGACTACTTAACACATGACTTAAAATAAATATAGCCCATAGAAAATTCCACTTCTTAGTTTTAAACAATGTAATATCATATACGTGTGTGGAGTTTACATGAGAAAGACGTGTTACTTGGCGCTCTTAGATTTTTATTCCAAAGTGGTGAAAAAAGTTACCTTTTTTATTAGAAATATATACTAAATCGTTCAGCAGACTGAGTGCTTTTGTGTAGTGTAATTTAAACAATAAAATTTGGAATGAAAAGGGGTGAAAACATTGATTCAGTGAATCTTGTGTAGGGTACTGTGACATTTAATTTATAACTTTGATAGTGGAACACAAAAGACTAGACTTTGATCTCATAGTGTTATCGCGTGTTCCGACTGTGTACCAAACTATATGCTATTTTCGCCAGTTACTACTAATGTACTGTCAGCGTAGTGGATAGAGCTACAACCCAAATATAACTGTGAGGCCGGGAAAGAGGCAAGCTTTGAACTCCCCACCAAAGGCTTCAGATGAAAGGCCAATAACAAGGGACGAGATGCAAGAAATTGTCAAGGACGTAGTGACTCAATTCCAAAAGACAATGCGCATCACCATATCGGACATCCTAGGCAGTGAACTAAAATCTTTGAAGGAGGAAATAGTGGATATGAAGGAGTCTATGAATTTTATGAATACAAAATATGAATCTATCACAAAGGAGCATGCAGAGGCCAATGAAAAAATAAAACACCTAGAGACAGAGAACGGTGCACTGCAGTCAAAGGTTGAGGACTTGTCTAATCGATTTAATCAAATGGAACAAAATGCTAGAATGAATAACATTGAGATCCAATGTGTGCCCGAGAGGAAAGATGAGAACCTGTTGCACATCGTAACAGAACTAGGAAAAACAATAAATTGTCAAGTATCCACGGAACACTTAGCCCACTACACCTGTATTGCTAAACTAAATAAAGACTCCAGCCGCCCTAGGTCTATTGTAGTGCAATTTATCTCGCCGAGTATGAGGGACAATTTCTTGGCAGCCGCGATCAAATATAATAAACTGAAGCCTCAAGAAAGGTTAAACAGTTCTCACGCTGGTGTTTCCGGTGCTAAAACTCCAATTTTTATATGTGAACATCCACCCATAACAAGGCCCTCCATGCCGCAGCTAGACAGGCGGCAAAGGACAAAGGTTATAAATATGTCTGGGTGAGAGGCGGTTGCATTTTCATGAGGAAGACTGAAGACTCTGAATTTAAAATCATCAGAAACATAGAGACACTTGACAAGTTGCCTTAGTTCCAAACCTACAACCTTTCTTTTACAACATTTTGAATGTACCCTATTTTACCCATTTTAAAAGAGATAAGAATATATTACCAAAACGTTCGTGGGTTGCGTACGAAAACTCACAACTTTTTAAGGGAAATCAATTGTAATAATTATGGTGTAATAGTTTTAACTGAAACCTGGCTTAATAGTAGCGTTATGAGCAATGAGTTATTTGATGACAGATACGAGATATACAGAAGAGACCGGGAAAGTACGGGGTTTCATGAGAATAAGGATGGGGGAGGAGTCTTAGTTGCGGTACTAAAAACTATCAAATCGGTTCGGAAGTTTGAATGGGAAAGTAAATGTGAAGACATTTGGGTGGTTTTGGATTTGAAAATTGAAAACTCTGTCCATCAAATAGCTCTTTGCGGTGTTTACTTACCACCTCCGGTGAACAGGCTAATGTTGGAGTATTTTGTAGAAAATTGTACCTCAGTCATAACAAGTAAATTTGATACACACCTGTGCTTTATTGGTGATTTTAACTTAGGTAATATAAATTGGAGTTTGGTACATGATTTGTCGAATAACTATGTTGCTCCTAGTCCAAGCCAAGCATTGATAGATTTAGTTCATCTTAACAAGCTTAATCAAATGAATAACATTCTTAACAAATCGGACCGCTTGTTAGACCTTGTACTGACCAACCTATCATCGTCCATGTGTACAGTAGCAGGATCAGTTAATATCCTTAGTATCGTAGATCCTCTACATCCCCCCTCTCGAAATATTAATAAAAAGAAATACTGATACTGCACTACCGTATAACATCGATACTAAAATACACAATTTTAGGAAAGCCGATTATACTTAAATCCGCCTTTGTTTAGCCGAATATGACTGGAATGAAATGTTTCATAACCTGAATGTTAATGAAATGACAAACTTATTTTATGATATAATTAATAATTTAATAAATAAATATGTGCCCTACAAAAAAATAAGAAATAATTCTTCTCCTCCTTGGTTTAATGTTTCATTAAAGAGAATTTTACGTGAAAAGGAGAACATAAGAAAGCGGTATAAAAAATATAGGAATCACATGGACGAAGTTGAGCTGCGGCTACTTAATAAGCGTTGCTGCACACTAGCAAATCAATCTTATAAAAATTATATAAAGAAGACAGAAGATAGTATTAAGTCGAACCCTAAACTTTTTTGGTCATTTATTAAGGCAAAGAAGTACGGGAAAAGTAATTATCCTTGTACAATGACTGATGGTATTAAGAAGTCATCTAGTCCTAGGGAAATCTGCGACTTATTTGCGTCCTACTTTGGAGCTGTGTATAATTCTCAAGATAACATAAACTCAGACTTGAATGTCAGCCAATGGAATTTGATTTGCAATTACAGCCTTGAACTAACTGCTCCCTACCTTAGCAAGGATCAGATACTGAAGAACATGAAGTCCCTAGATCTTAATAAGGGCCCAGGATCAGATTGTTTCCCTCCTTTATTTATTAAGGCATGTGCGGATGAGCTAGTGACGCCTATATATCTAATTTTTAAGAAGTCTCTTCAATCTGGCCTATTTCCTGATGTTTGGAAGTTCGCCAAAGTTGTTCCCATTCACAAGGCCGATAACGTCGAGGTGGTAGGTAATTATAGGCATATTTCTATACTGTCAACTTTAAGTAAAATATTTGAATCTCTTGTTTATCCTGTGCTGCAGAACCACTTGAATCATTATCTTACTGAGTGGCAGCACGGTTTTGTTAGATTTAGGTCAACCTGTTCCAATCTGACCTTGTTTACGGAAACTTTGGTAGAAGCAGTAGATAACGGTAGGGATGTTGATGTAATATATACAGACCTTAGTAAGGCATTCGACAAAGTAAATTGCGTACTGGCTCATTAATGGGATGGCTGCAGTCGTATCTGGATAATCGTAGTTTTAGTGTGGTCGTTAATGGTTTTCAGTCTGTACCATACAAAATTACGTCGGGGGTTCCTCAGGGATCACATTTAGGTCCTCTGCTTTTCAACACCTTCATCAATGACATCCCTAGTTGTTTCCAGTTCTCCAAACCATTTATGTATGCCGATGATTTGAAATTGGTTGGCATCTGCGAAACTCTAGAGGACATTGAACAGTTTCAAAGTGATGTTGACCGTATGGTAAATTGGTGTCGAGACAATGGTATGCACCTGAACATAAACAAGTGCTACCATATGAAATTCAGTAGAAAGATCAAGTCACTGAACACATCATACAAAATTAACGGCCACATCATTAAGAAAACGGAGGAAGTCAGAGACCTGGGAATAGTGTTCGATAAAAAATTAACCTTCGTTCCCCACATCGAGAATATTACAAAAAAGGCGTATAAAATGCTAGGCTTTGTTTTGCGTAACCCAAAAGTGTTTAAAAATAATCACATTAAGATCCTACTGTACAACAGCCTCGTACAAAGCATACTTGAGTATTGCAGTGTAGTATGGAGGCCACATTACGCGACACACTCCTTACGATTGGAACGTCTGCAAAAAAAGTTCGTGGCAAATTTGGCCTATTGGAATGGGATTCACAAAAAAAATTCGGTCTTACGAAAAACGATTAAGATTCTTTAAAATTTTATCCCTGGAAAATCGGAGAAATTTGCTTGACCTGTCATTTCTTGTAAAAATTTTTAATCAAAAAATTAACTGTCCCCTCTTGCTCCAAAAATTTAAATTTCGTGTTCCATTGAGGATTCCTAGCGCCCCTATTACTCCACTTTGCCCTCCTTTTAGAAAATCTGTCTTAGGTGCAAACTCTCCAATTCCAAGGTTGTGCAAATTGGTCAATGGACATAGTGACAAAGTTGACATTCACGCCGACTCACTTGCCAAAATTAAGGAAGTTCTAGCTTTAGCCTGGCCTGAAACCAACAAATAAATAATAATAGTTCTTACCACGTACTTTTTTCATTATTAGGTAATTTATACTTTTTTATTCGTATTTATAATCTTTCTCGATGCATGTGGTGTTTACCTTAAACGATTGTTACACTTAGCTACGTAAATTAGTTCTTAAGCCATTTTGTTAAATACAGTGTAATCAAACATTGGTAAACCTTAATAAATTAAAAAAAAATTTATCAAACTGGATGTGGAGTACATTGTACGTCTCAAGATAACACAAGCACCAGTTGCTTAATTTCTGTTAGTGATTCGCGTGGCGCTTACACAGTACCCTCCTATATGCCGCAGAGTTCAAAAGTATATTCAGATACAAACACTATTCTATTTTAGTTGTATAATCAGTGTATTTTATTACGTTTTTACCTATGCCTTCTATTTCTTTCATAATGTAGAAGAAAGGTTCTCAAATGACGGCCTCGTACTTGCAAGCGTAATTAGGGACCACCTCTCACTAAATGAAGTAACGACCTATAAAACACACATACAGTCGATAGATGCAGGTAGCTTAGCAGCGGACTTGTAATGTATTACTAGTAGTAGTAATAAGTAGAGTCCGCCTACGTGGCTTAGTAGTTTGCACTAGCTCAGAAAGTTGTAAGTCTTGTATTAAAACTCCAATCCACTTGTGATCATACATAACAAAATAATTGGTAAAGAATATTCACATTTACAGAAAAAAATATTTTGTCTTCAATAGAATACATTTTACATGTTTTATCACACCATTTACTGCCATAGTAGCTTAGGGGTTAAGCGGTCATTCTTAATTGCACAGCGAAATACAAGAAATTGTAGCAATTTTACCACTTGTTCGACGGTTAAGGAGCAGATCGTCAAGAAACCTGCATGTCTATGGAATAAAAATATCTCGAAGATATTTAAAGTTTACTATCATAAACTGAAACAGCATGTTGGACTAATTTCTACAAAATGAGACAAGTAATGACCCACCAGTTTAGGACATATATGAAGTAACTTTAATTTTTAATTTTTATCTTCCAATGATGCAAGTGCTTTGCGGTACCAATAATCAAGGCTGTTGACCAGAAGTCACTTGATAAAATCAGTAAAATTTGTTTGTTCAGTTTGTGGTGTTCGCGTATAATTTCTTCAACCTTTCAACTAATTATCTATTTTTAAGTTTAGTTTGATAAGAGATGTTAAGACATAAAAATGCGTATTTGGTAACGCTTTAATATAGCTTGATGTCACATAGTGCGCTTTACCTACTATCTTCGGCTGCATCATCACTTACCTTCTTAGCCTGCATCATAACTTACCATCAGATGGGATTATAGTAAAGGTATAGGCTTAGGATAATTTAAAAAGATAATAAGCGTTGTAGGAGTTTGATATTATAATCTGTAGTTGAATGTGAGTAGGATTACGAGAAATTATTTGTAGTAATAATGATTAAAATAACAGTAATTAATAAATAACTCAAAACTTTAAAACTTTAGATTGTACAACCAGTGTGTGTTGCCAGTGATGACCTATGGATGTGAGACGTGGTCCTTTATTGCTGGCCGTATGTGGAAGCTCAAAGTCACTCAGCGAGCTATGGAAAGGGCTATAGTCGAGTTTTTCTACGTGATATACATAGGAATGAGAATATCTGCAGTAGAACCAGAGTGACCGACATGCCCCAACGGATTAGATATAGCTCGAAGAACCGACAATCGATGGGGAAAAAAGGTTCTCGAGTGGCAGCCCCGTACCGGCAAGCGAAGTGTAGAGCATCCCCCACTAGATGGAGTGACGACCTGGTAAGAAGACACGCAGGAATTCGATGGATGTTGGTGGCTTTGGACCATGTTTTGTGACATTCGTCATAGTAGGTCAATTTTCACTAACGAGATTCTGTAATAATGATGATGATGATGATTTGTAGTAATGAATCAAATGGTATGCAGGCTTGCCAGTAACAATTTTTTTTAAATCCGCAAGTACGACACAATAGAAAAATATCTGAGAACATAATCTATTTAGATGTTTATCTAACACACGAAAAATAAAAATCGATTAAGAATACATTAAAAATAACTGAACGGCAAAAAAGGCAAAGTGGTTGTAATTAAAAGAGCCCCTTTTCTGTCGAGATGATTTTGAATGTAAAATGTTGATAGTTTTTAACCCAAATAGTTATTTAGTCCCCAGTAGCACTTGTATTAAAATAATGATATTTGATAATATTTTTGAAATGGTCGTAATAACAGGGGTGACCTATTGTTCACCAGTGAACTTCGGGAAGGCCTTTCTTAATGAATAAACCAATAATAGTAATGTCCTCCAGACCGATATGCAACTACGGCGGATAGTCTCAACGGAGACTAGTCGATTGCACAGGACAGGATTATATAGGACAGGATATTAGTGTACGCAAGCACAGTTGCACTCTCTATTTCTGTCATAGCCCGATGGAACGGCAACCTAACCGAAAAGAAATCATGCCTAACCGACCTGACCACAAGACCAGCAGGCGTACTTACGACCAATAACCAACGAGGCAGTTTTGAGTAGTCCGAGGCAGTTAAGAGTAGTCCACTGTGGACCATAATCCTTCTTCAAGGAATGCCATTTTAAGTCAACTGCTGAACATAAGCCTTTTTCAAGCAAAGCCACAAAGCACGGTCCTGATCCATCTGTATCCATCATATAGCTTGATTCACTGTCGCTGCGTTTTCTATCGTATCTACCATGGGGAGTGTTCTGAGGAATTGTTCGGATTAATTCCTGCCGCCAAATTCCACGAACGCACATCGTGTCAAAATTCCCGATACCATCCTCGACATCTGGATGCTTGGCGGTCTACTACTGTACGTTTTACTAAAAGTTTTCTTCCTCGTACAACGTCTCTGTGGAATTGTTTGCCACCGGCGATTTTCCGGGCCGATACGACTTAGAGACCTTCAAGAAAAAAGCTTACTCCTTTCTAAAAGGCCGGCAAGGCATCTGAAATTCCCCTCGTGTTTCGGTTGTCCATGTGCGGTGGTAGTCGCTTGCCATCAGCAGAATTAGCATGCTCGTTAACCCTCTCTTCTTTAAAAAAATCTCTCAAAACAATCAATACATATAGTTGAAAGTCACTTTACACTTTGTTTACTTTATTTTAATTGAAATTTATTGACATATAATAACTTGCATACTTTTACATTTTTTAGTGATGGCTTAAGTATTTCTATTACTTCGTATTGTCATCCCGTGGGGGTCGTAAGAGAAAACAGAGGGAAATGAAATAGTAGATTGGCAGAAGTGTCTTCATAATAACAACTCAACCATCTGCCAAGCGAGGTAACTATGGCAAATTTTCACCCTATGAGGTAATCTTGTGGACTTTTAAAGGCTGTAATTAATGAATTATTGAATTCAAATGAAAGCCAAAACTGACCTAAAAACGTAGCCTGCATTTTATTAAGCGAAAAAATACAGCTAGTGATCTTGGCTCTATGCCACGGGGAGTAGGACTTTATGATTTTAGAAGTTTGTTTGTTATTTTTTGTATGACAATAAATATTGCATAATTTAATATTATATATTTTAAAACAAGAAAAACTTTCAAGCAGCCATCAACCTTTGTACAGTTAATAATATCGAAACTCAATAAAAATCGCTCTAAGAATTTTACTGCTCAGTATTTTTCAGTAGCGATATAGTTTTTTATTCCTCGATAAAATTTTCCCCAACGGTGAACATAAAATCGTGGTTAACGATGAACTGTTATCAGACAGTTATTTTAGTATCGGCCTTTCACCATTTTACAGATGTTTTTTTTTTTTTTTTTGATGGTCAATTTATTACATATTTTAGAATTAAAACTAAAACGAATAGGTCTTTGGAATTTCCCTTCTGCACTACTAGCCATTTAAAATCAAAATAATTTTTGTTTAGCTAAGAATTCTAATTTCAAATTAATTTTATTTCAAAAACATGGAGTTATTATTAAAAAATAGTCAT